GGGAAAGATGGCAGTGAGGCATCTCCCTGTGGACAGGGAGAAAAGATCCTGCAAGAGATCCATCAGAGCCTGCCCTCTCCAAGTCCTGGTCTCCTTTTCCCTTGGCTGAATCACTTGACTCAGCCCCTGGCCCCAGGCAGGTCCCTTGACCTCCCTTGTCTCCTAGCAAATCTCCAGCTGAAAAAAAAAAATACCAACCCAAAACGGATTAAACCGAAGCACCGTCAAGCAAGCACGGCCCTTTGCTGAAATCCAGAGGCAGCGGCGAAGAGCAGAACAAAGCGCTCGGAGGCGGCGTGACAACGCGTCGCAGCTGGAGCAGGGGCGGCAAATTGGTCACAGCAGGTTACAGCTGCAGCCAGCGCCTGTGCGTCTCCCCGGCAAGGCAGAGGTGCCCAGGAAGCTGTCATCTTTGCACGGCCTTAAAAACTACTCCTAGAATTGCACCGCTGTCAGGAGCACTCCCTGCACCTCCCTGGCAGGGCTGCTTTTTCTAAGCAGAGGATGCGAGGACTTGGGGAGCCATCCCACCCGGCTGGTCCTGCTTCTCCCCTCCCAGCATCATGGAGCAACTCCCAGCAGAGAACCCAAGTCTGTGTCCATGGGTGTCATTGCTCTCCTGACTGCTTCCCTGCTGGAGGTAGCAGCATGGATTGCCTCTGGGGATTGCCCAGGAGGCCACAGTCACCTCCCCTATGGCCACCAACACATCTGGCCACCTTCATGGCCACCAGCAGATCAAAGAGCTTCCTTCCAGGGAGCCGAGTTCATCCGTCCTTCCTCGCTCCAACAGCACTCCTTCCTTCATCTGACTTCATTATGTTTTAAACCCCTAAATATCCCAGGATTTGGCCACGAATGCTGGAAGGTCTCTGAGCTATCTGATCTGCATTGCTAAGCACTGTCACCTCCTCCCCTCGCACTGCTCAGCTTAGCCTCTGCCCCCTAACATTTGCAGATAGATGCACAAAGCTTAATCTCACAAGGAGCCCAGAGACTCTTTCTCCCTGCAGAGGAAACAGGATTTTATGATTTTTCCACTTTACGTGCCAGGATGGATGGGCTAGAGCTGTTTCAGAGCTGGGGAGCTGAAACGGGAGCATGCAACGGGAAGCCCGTGCAGTGGGGACCGGAGGATGGGGCCGGGTGTAAGAGGATGAGGATGTCTGATGGGTGAGGTCCCCAGGCTGATCTGCTGAGGTGCTGAATGGAGGTTCTCAAGGACTTCAGTGCAAGTGCAGGGAGCGGAGCACCTCCCAGAAGAGCGGGCACCCTCCTTAACCATGCAGAAGAGGGCAACATGCCTCCGTTGGGAGGGGAAGCAGGGAGCAAGCCGGCACCACTGCAACCCTGGCTACAAGCTGATTGCATTGCCCAAGCCAGGGTGCTATGGAAAAGAGGTGAAGCCACCGTGATGGGGGAGAATTGCTGGGGAGGAAAATGTGCCAACCCCTTCCCCCCCCCAGCCACGCAGGTCACACTTATGGATGCCTCCAAGATGCCCCAAATTGCCATCCCCCTCCCGCGTGGCCCTTTTGCACTGTGCAAAAAGGACAAAGAGCAGCCAAAAAAAAAAGTCTTGGGCACAGAAGGAAAATCCTCCCCAGCTAGGTAATTTGTGAATTCCTATGGTAATACCACCGACACAGCAACCACTGCTGGTTGTAGCTCTTTCCTTACTATCAAGATTTGCAAAATGATTTCCAAAGCATTAATTGCATGAGATTAATGGAGTGATTGCATCGGGGAAAATGCAGCATCCATTACGTGGTCAGGGCTGCATCGTGCAGGCAGCTGTGGGCAGCCGAGCTGTGCGGCCAGGGGTGGAAATCGTGGACAAGAGCAGATGTGTGATAGGAGATAACTGGACAGC